AGAAGCTGGGCTACCTCGGATTAGCTCCATGTGCTGTTAGCAATTGGCAGTGTGTAGAGGAATAGAAGTATTATACAAAACCCTGGTAATGGCTAAATTCTGCCTGTTAGCTTTAATAACTTTAAAAAAAAAATAATATTCATGTCTAACAAATCTGCTGGTACTCCAAAGCTGGAAAGGACCCAAGTTTACCTTCTCAATGCTTACAGCCACTGTTTGAAGACAAATTAAATAATGATTTTTTTAAAAATTTATCGCACTAGTATTGGAGGAAATTTTAATTCTATTGCCCCTAGTAGATACAAAGSAGGAAAGTGAAACCCCCATGCTGTAAAAGATACATGGTTTAGTAGATACAGGTTTAGTAGATACATCAGATTACACAGGAAAAACAAGTGATATGTTCAGCTTTGTCATATAATGGCTTATGAGTGCTTTCTACGTGGCACAGGGAGAAGAAGTGATGCCACTTTCATTCTGGTTCAGCTACCTTTGGGGATCTGAAAATCTGGTTTAAGTTTGGATAGCTGTAAGATTATGTGAAAACAATGTTTGAGTAGAGGGAGTGAAAGAAAGGTTTCATAAGGATGCATTCCCAGGAAATCTCACCTGTTTACATGGGAAAGTGCCCACAGTGATCTGATAAAGCAAGAGGACTGGGCTCTAGAGCTTTCATTCAGAACAGGTACATGGGCCATGTAGACCACTTCTCTGCCTCAGTGAGAAGTGCTTTTAAAAATGCCTGGGTAGATTCTTTAGACAGTCTAGAGCTAGACCCTATAGATAGATGGCTACATTTCTGGTGTATTTCTGTTCTAATGTTAACTGTCCTAAAGAGCTAGGATTATGCAATTCAGCTGAACATATTTTATTTACTTCCATGATTTTTCTTATGATGTTCCATCTGTTTTCATTTGTTTATATTTATCCTGACTACCATMCTAAATACTTCCTTTTCACTGACCCCTCTCTTCTAGGTATTCATGTCACCCAATTCTTTTAGACTATTAACAGCTTTCTATTTCAGCATTCCAAAATTAAACCAGATCTAGAATCTTCCTTCATAAATCCAACCTAACATGACAAAATTAACAAATCACTTAAAGGTGGCTTCCCTCACAGAGCTAGACTTGAAAGGCTKACAAACTGCCAGCTTAGGACTTCACAATTAGGTCAAACAACAGTAATTTTCAGCTGTGCATTTCCTGCCTTTTTTCCCCATGTGAAAACATACATCATAATAAACTAATGCTGAGACACTCCAAAGAGCAAATCCCAGAATTTAGCCAGCTAAAGAAAAGGCAGAAGCCTCAATTTGAAAACTCATCTGAAAATGTTCTTACCCTTTGGTTTCTTTTATTTTTTGACAACAGAAGGTGGGAAAAGATCCCCTCTCTATTACATTCATGATATACAAATATTCTTCTCTGTGAGTGTGAAGGCACTATATCATACAGGGAAGGCTTGCATGTTCTAACCTGCTCTTTCATATTTATTATGTAGACTCTTTGGATTAAGAAGCTGGCATGTCTCAAACATATCCTACTTGCTGAGTGCTACAGTATTGGAAAGAAACATCCAGTGCTTCACGTTTCTTCTGTATTACAATAGTGTTAGTTACAAACCATGCATGGAGACCGATTACTTTGCCCCAGAGCTATTTGGCTCTCCAGGCAGAACAACCGCTAACTGTCTCAGAACAATGACAGAAATGAAATGCACAGCTGACTCTCTGCAAATCTTGACTAAAGGCTGGAAAACAGCATGTCCACCCCTGAGCTTTCAAGGAGGTCTGTGGGAAAATAACGTGGAGGAATAAAGGAAAGGCSTGGGAATTACTTTGCAAGGCAGTATGATTCTCTAATTGCTCAGGAATTAAGAGGTGAGATGTAATTAATCACTAAAATTAATTCACTGTTTAACCTTGACAAAGTCCCCAGTGATTGATTCTGTGCTCAGGTTTTCCAGTACACATATTCAGAATATTMGTTAATGCAAAGCAAGAGTCACCCAGATTTTTAAAGGCCTTTCAGAAACTCTCAAAACTAACAACCAGACTATGCCTGAGAGTAGTCCACTTCTTAGGAGGTAGAGCAGTCATTTAACTGTAGCCACACTACTAAGTCTCCTCATACACGATTTCCAAGCTAAAGTACCAATTGCAAAGAAGTCATACCCCAGATATGAAAGCCCTATCCTACTATCTCATTGTTTCTTCACAGCACAACTGTTGCAATAACSCTGAGGACAAAGACAAGAAGTCTGTGATACACCCAGGCCATGACTATCACAGCTTTAAGCTGAAAAACTTTGAGGGCAGTCAGCCTGAAAAGCAAGGGATGATAAGTGGATATCATCTTTGTTGTGGGATATTTGTTTGAATGCCAAATGCTGTTTTAAAGACTGTTATTTTAGCTCCCTTGACAGCACAGAACAGTTCATCAGTGCTAAAAGTACCAACATACTTGAGCTAACAAAATTCCTACGGAATGCAGTGGAAATAGGCTAGGGGACAATGCATATGAAGAGAAGTACAATCTCYATCCTCTAAATTTCCTGGTCCCTGCCTCCATATTGTCTGGAATTGATCTGGTGTAAGCAATATGCTCTTTCAGATTTGAAAGGAACCATAAGCCTAAAAGATATTCACTACCACCACCACTCCCTAAAGAATAGTCCAAATTTTTTATAAGAGTACATACCTTGCACTGTCCAGACCTTTATGCAAGAAAACACTATAAAATAAAATCTTTTTTTGTATGTCTCTGCAGAGGCAGCTCCATAGTCAAGTCCTCAGCTAGAACCACTAGTATAGGAATCAAAGTCCTTTTATGCTTGCTGTGTCAGGGGCAGTGTAAATTTACACCTGCCTCAGGTTTAATCTAGCAATTAGTAATTATCTGGTAAATTGAGGAAGGCRGAAGAATTTCCTCTCAAATAAGGCTGTTATTAAATAAGAGAAAAACTGAGAGCTAAATGAACTGAGCATGTTATTTCTGTCCTTGCAGAGTGAAAAACAGGCTAGGGTAGGTTTGTAGAATTCTAGGGGTTTCATTTGCAAATATGTCTTAGTGCTTTCCATTCTCAACTTTGCTAATGCTTTTTGTTGATATTTTGCAGTGCAAATCCACATTGTTTCAAAACTTTTCTTGTCTTGAAAATCATAACTGGCCCAGCCATGARCAATAGTCAAAGACCAAGTCTTTTTCCAAAGCTGGCCAGCATCAAGAAGCATATTCTCCTCGGCTGCAYAGCTCTACTTGTTCTAACAAAAACAACCCCATATCAGTAGTATCTTGTTTGTTCCAACTAATGCACATGTGTATCTTTTTACTTACCAAAACCAACTGAAGACAGTCAGGTCAGGTCTGGTTTAATACAAGCAGGTACTTTTTGATGGCTAAGTTTTACCTTATCTCTTCAGAAAAAAAACAAAAAAAAACAAAAAAAAAACAAAAAACAACAACAACAACAACAACAACAACAACAACAACAACAACAACAACAAAAAAAAAACACCAAAAACCCAGCAGCCCATAACTCCTCTGTCCTGGACAAGGCATTCAATTATATGGGGAGAGCTCAAATGGAGGGCATTCACTGAATGACAACCCCAGGGGAAGGCAAGGATTTAACAGGTCTGATGAGATTTCCACTTGTTCTGGGCTTCAGATTTGGAAAAACTCAAAGTAAGCTTGTCAGTGCATAAACAAGAAAAAGGACAGGTCCAGAGGCTGCTGCCATTCAAAGACAAACAAGTAGCATTAGCTGTGTTAAGGAAGACAAAAATAAGTCTAGGAGCTTTTTCTTAATGCCTGACACCTGAAAACAAGGTTCTTCTTGCATAATTTCCAAATGGTTTTGATTTTGGCTTAGTGTCTCTTTGATGTAGCAATAAAGAAAAGCTCTCTGATTTTGCATACTCAGAGAGCYCCCAAAACTCAGTCCCTTTTATTCCAGCCCACAAAACTGGCAGGTCAGCCTCTCATGGGAATCTGGTCACTTAAGAAATTAGCTGCATGGGAGTTGAACTCATTAGAAATTCAGCACCTTAACATACAAAGAGCATGAGATTCCTTTTCATGTATGAACATGAACATGTGTTTTAGGATAAGGAGTAAATGATRGTATTGTTTGTACACATTGTGTCCAGAATTTTTTAAAAGAAAAAAACCAAAACATTGTAAGATAGTTCCGCAAGAGTCAGTTAAAACCAAAGAAATCTGTAGGCCATATGAACTGAGGGCCAGCAAAACAAACAGCAGTACTTTGTTCCCTGTATGTGAACACAGGGTCTGATAGTACCAATAGTTTTGAAGACAATAAACTGTATACTTAGTAGGTCTTCTCTTCATTGGCAAAACTTTTTGATGCACTATTAATGCAAGTTTGGGTTAGGGTTATGCCAGTTCCACTTGATCTGACCCTTTCTCTACCCACAGATCAGCACATGCCACACTGCTTGTCAGCAGCTGCGGAAAGCAGCAAGGGCTGGTCTGTGCCCAAGCTTCACATGAAACCCAGGTGCCAGGACTGCTCTTGGAATGAGCAGGACTGAGTCCCCACCTGGCAAGAGCTGGTCAAATGCAAGGAAGAAAARGGGATTTGCGCAAACCAATATTTTGAAAGAGTGGGGAAATACCACTCCTCTTGTGCAAGCTGAACAGAAATTCAGCAGTGCCCAGGGTCACCGAGGCCCACCTGGCAGCAGTCTCCAGACATGTGTCAGAGGATCTCTAGTGCAATACCAATTCAGAGAGCACTGTTCCAACAGCTGGGTCACTGATCATCTGACATCCTGCAGCTGCCCAGTTTATTCAGAAAAAAAAAAAACCCCAAACTCTTAGAAAAATGCCCCTGGATCAGAATGCTGCTTAAGCAACAAGGCCTAAATGTACCCATTGCATGAAAGGTAACATAAATGCATAAGGAATTGTCCAGGAATAATGTCAGACATGGAGGAAATAGAACTKAAACAAAAACTACGTGGTGTTGAAAGAAACAGAGATTTATTTTTAAATAGCAAAGTCATCCAAAGGAACAGCTATGTTTTCCTTGCTTCCCTGAGTGATCGTGAAGTAGTGGTGGAGAGATTTTCATGTTTTATGGAAATGCATACAAAACCTGAATCCTTAAGTGTTACCAATATCAGCTAACACCCGAAAAGTAACTTCCAGAGCATAACAAGAMATACAGTGAGTATTTAATATACAATGTTGTCTGAATTAGCAGTTTCCTTCAAAGACCTACAGTGTCATTTTTAACACATCTTTTCTAACTTTAAACAGAGGATAGACTACCACAGTGTCTGCTTGTATGCATCCAAGCAAAAAAAACCTCAATTATATTTGCAAATATCTATTTGGAAAAAAACAAGAGAGAATGTTGGGTATTGATTTTCATACCTGGGATCTTCAAAATCCTGCAACTACTCTAAACCTTATTTATATGTAACTGATTTTTAAAATAGATTTTGGACTAGTCAGTGTGGTCTAAGGTTTAAAGAAAAGGGCTGAGAAACAGGAAACATGGGAGAATTGGGTTGGATGAGAGCCTGGATAAAGGCATGTGGTTTGTTTGCATGATTTTTAGTTAATAACAAGGGAGATTGGGTGTCTCAGAAAATTCAGAAAAGGGAAAGAAAGCTTTATACTAACAGAAAAAAAATCCCCAAAACCTTCATATAAAGGTAACTGAATTTGTAAATACTAATGGAAAGTAGTTACGTGTCTTATAACTTAAAATTTGAGTGGAGAAAGCCCTAGATAATATTCTCCAGAGCRCAATCCTAGAATCAGAGAATCACARATTGTTAAGGGTTGTAAGGAACCTTAAAGATCATCTAGTCCCAAACCCCGCTGCCATGGACAGGGACACCTCCCACTAGATCAGGCTGGTCAAGGCTTATCCAACGTGRCCTTGAATACTGCCAAGGTTGGGGCATCCACAGCGTCCCTAGGCAACCAGTCCAGTGCCTCACAGTGAAGATTTTCTTCCTAGTCCTAGCCTAAATCTTGTCTATTTTGGTTTGTACCCAATACTCTTTGTCCTATCACTGCAGTTCCTGATGAAGAGTCTCTCTCCAGCTTCCCTGTAGACCCCCTTCAGATACCAGAATGCTGCTATGAGATCTGCATGCAACCTTCTCTCTTCCAGGGTGAACAGCTCCAAGTTTTTCAGCCTGTCTTCATAGGGAAGGTGCTCCAGTCTTCTTACCACCTTAGTGGAGCTCCTTGGGACTTGCTCCAACAGGTCCATGTCCTCCTTATTGGGGGCACCAGAACTGCACGCAGCACTCCAGGCGGATCTAACAGGAGCAGAGCAGAGGAGCAGAATCACTCTGTCAGCCTTCTGGTCACGCCTCTTTTGATGCAGCCCAGGATTGGGTTGGCTGTCCAGGCTTTGAGCACACCCTGATGACTCATGTTGCRTTTTTCATCAGCCATCACCCCGAAGCCTTTCTCCACACTGTTCTCAGTCACTTTTCTGCCCAACCCGTTAGGTGTGCCCGGGATTGCTGTGACCCAGTTGCAGGACCTTGCACTTTGCTTTGTTGAACTCCATGAGGTTTGTGTCTGCCCGTCTCTCAAGTGTGTCAAGGTCCCTCTGGATGGCACCCCATCTGTGCAACGTGTCAACTGCCCCACTCACCTTGGCGTAGTCAGCGAATTTACTGAGGGTGCATTCTATTTCAGCAGAGATATCGAACAGTGTTGGCCCCAGTACCAGTCCCTGAGGGACACCCCTCATCACTGCTCTCCACATGTAGAATKAGCCATTGACCACAACGCTTTGTGTGTGGCCATCCAGCCAGTTCTTTGTCCACCAAATGGTCCTGTGTCAGTTTGTAACAGGACACCTAGAAAGGCTGGACCTGTGACTGCACCAGTGTTGGAACAGTATGAACAAGAACCAGTCAGCTGAGTGTTCTTGTCCTCCTACTGATACCAACCAATGATGCAGAAAAAGCTGAGTCCTTTTAATTAAAATCCTTTTAATGTATTATGGAAACAGTTAAAGCTGTTCTTTTACTCTTTTTCCAAACCTACACTTTCATGGGCGATAGGCATATGAGATCTAATGTGTTTTGCAATGATTAACCTACTTAGGGCACATTCAGATATTGTTTTGTGTCTGTATAATGCACAAAGGTCTGAGCTTTTGACAAATGCTTGGAGAGCTGCCCTTTATAAAGGCAATAATTTTGTTTTAAAGGAAACACTCCATAGATTCAGGATTAAGTCTGCAGGAATACAACATTCAATTATTTAAGGTAAAGAAAGGGCTAATTTTTCTTACATTCTATTGTTCCACTGCTGATTCCAAAGCTGTCTCTCTTCTTTGTTCTTCTCTGATGCTTGCCCWCCTCCTAAACTGCAGACCAACACAAGCTCCAAGGGTCTGAAGGCAAGAACAAAGCAAGTAAAGCTATGACCTTGTGATGAGTGCTGTCAATAGAGTGCATCTTTTTTCTGCTTTTTTCTTACCATTTATTTCTGACTATTAGTTCTGTGCTCACTTTCTTGTAGTAACTTTCCAGTTTTAAAAATATTAAAACCAAAACTTCTGTGTTTCACAAATTAAACACGTATAAGTGGTCTGGTCTTCAGTTGCACCTCTTATTTTCCTTGAGACTGGTTTACCAGATACTTGATAGGATTTGCTTGCAACTTTAGGAATGAGGACAAGAAGAATTCGTTTCTCCTTTCCTGAGAAACTTTTGATTTTAGTCAATGATCATAATTTCATATCACAGCAAGCCCTTTTAACATGAGATCTATGAAGCTCAATCACACAATTTTACTAGATGGGAAATGTTATTTGGTCTACTTGACATCTTCAAAAACTATGCTGACATTTTAGCATTGAGAAAATAATTCATCAAACAGCCTTTCATTTTGAGTCTCTCATGGTGTAGTCTGTCCTGTCATTAGAGGCTTCTTCTTTGAATTGAGTGTGCTAGTTCTGGTACCAGATGCCTAATTTAAATCTGATTCACCTAGTGCCTAAGTAAGTTCCAGGTATTTTCACATGATGGATTCAAGGTTTTAAATTAAATTTAAAAGTACTTTAAAGGTTTAGACAAACTTTTTTGCAAAAACAATAAAAATAATCAAATTATTGACAACTCACTGAAATTCAACTATTTAAAGCTAGCTTACTAAACATGTTTTTAGTGTTGTTGATTAGTCACTAATATATTGTTGCTTAAGTATTGTTGCTTAAACTTCAGGCTTTCTTTTGAGACCTAGTTAACCTTATGATAATGTCAGATGAACTTCTAAAAATTTTCTTTTACAGCTTACTTGTCTTAACTTTCTGTCATAATTATCTAAACTTTTGCTTGACTAAAATGTCAATGTACAATGTCTTCTTTAAATATTAYACTTTGAGTGTGTAGAGTATAAAAAGACACTCCTCAAAATATGTTCAGTTTGGGTACCAATCCTGTAAGGCTGTAGGGTTACTGTACACCATTGGAGACAATGCTCATGGATTCTCATGAAGAAGACTTGTGCGATTTTCTTTTCTTTCACTAATTCCTTCATATTTTGGCAACATTGTCMATTAGAAATGCAAGGAGTACACAGAAGAAAGGGAAAAAAAGTTAGCTTCAGCAAGATTCTACAGAAATAACTAGATACATAGTCATAATGTAAGTTTGGCTGGCTACATGTTTAATTTCACCCACGGCAAGAAAAATCTTCTGAAAATAGAAATAAACTGGTGACACGTATTTTCCTTTAACATGCTCTGTCTTCTTATGGAATACTTTTTCAGAGTCATCCTCCATGTTCATCAAGGCCTTAATCCTCACGATTAAAAAACTGATGAAGTCCCAGACTGTGGAAAGTAGTATTACCATTTGCATTACATGATTGCTTTCTCAGAAAAAAATGCTCCTTTGCAAGTTTTCAACAGCTTACATGAATGTTATTTTTCCTGAAGATTTCTACTTCTGAGTTTTAATGTACACTATATCAGATGAAAAATGTCAGTCACAATTGTTATGGACATCACCTTTTGTTTAAATGTAACCATGTCTTCTTTTTTTACCATGGGAAAAATATTCATCTGTTTGTCTCTGGGTGGATATATCTCTATTCTTTACCACATTCTGAAATAGCAATGTAAAATGTCTTGACATTTTCCACAAAAGAAAAAGAAAAAGAATAACAAAAAAAAAAAGAAAAAGAAAAAGAAAAAGAAAAAGAAAAAGAATAAAAAAAAAAAAAAAAAAAAAAAAAAAAAAAAAAAAACCCCAAAAAAACAAAAAACCAACAGCTTTGGAAAGAGTTCATGCCTGGAATGTTTCTGGGGAAAAAAAAAAAAAAAACATTTTTTTTTAAATACAAAGATTGTATTTCAAAAGACAGTGATGAATAATGGAAAGTATGAACTGTGAAGTCCTATTATATCAGTTGTATTTAGGTTAACCACATTTAATTTTTTAAGTCCATGAATTCCTAAGAAATTTTACTCACATGATGGACTTATTTGTAAACTTACATTCTGCCCTGAAGGAGACACTRATTGTTGCATGCTGTTGTGACTCATGTGCATCTCTGGTTCCAGCTGCCAGGAGTCAGAGAGCAAAGTAAGTAGGATGATCTTGTATGAACTGTGATTAAAATTCCAAGAGAGTTATCCTCAGGACACTCCACAGCATTTCTTTTTATACACTAAGATATGGAAAATAAAAAGAGGGTGATATAAAACAGTCTTTAAGTTTGAAACTTAACACTATTTTCTTTCATTCTGTTAAAAGTAAAAATTACATAGTCTAAGCAGACTTGCACATTTAACAGGAATAGCCTATATTTTTGTTGCCCACTATATTCAAATAGCTATTCCAACAAATGCACACAAAAACCTTTGAAACAGTATGTGGAAGCCCTTTTCCTTACTAAAAATACGACTATTATTTCTGAATTTTACTTCAAAATTCAAGTATCACCAACTTTACACAGTTCTTGTTCTCCAGATATCAGAAGTAAACCGATGTAGCATGCATGCTACATCTTATACATATATATTTTCAAATTGATTTCTTTGTTTCATGTCAATGAAAATATAAATGTTCAGTGAACTCAGAGTCCTGAGTGTCAAAGTATTGCCACCTGTTCTTTTCTTCTATTGACAAGACAAAGAGTTTTAAGATATATTTCATTGAAGTATGATCAAGTATATYGTGAGTGACAACATATGGTAGTAGTCATAATTAAAAAATAGTTACTTGGGTTCCTATTTATCTGTCAAGTGAACTGGTTTATCTGCTGCTCATAAATGTATGTCAGATGTAATCTAATGGCTTTTTAATAGAAGGAAGCTTGACAAAATACTGGCAGATGGTATTCTGGGTRATGATCCAGACTGCAGTAATCTCAGTAATGACTTACATTATCTATTTACCTGGCCCCAAACAAAGAAAGGAGGGGTAGGGAGGAACCACTAAAAGATTCAAGTGGTCTGAGTTGCTTTGGCACTGCAAATGCTCAACTCACTGAATCAAGTGCATTCACTTCTGTAGTGGGAGAAAACATGAAATTGGTTAAAACAGTATAAATGCAACAGGAAGATCTTCCTCCTCCACAATCAGTTTGGGAATGGAAACTTACCTAGTTCTCATGGACTTTTTGTTGGTTTGTTTTTTTTTCCTGCTGTTGCTCTGAAGTGGTCACTTTAGGGGAAATTCTGTCTTTTAAAGGAAAAACATCTCATTGCACCACTGGRCCACTCCAGCAGGTTTCTTCTCTAGGAGTGGTGATCTGTCCCCAAAACAGAGGCAATAACATTATTAGAAGTCATAAAGAACTGCTGTCTGCCCAGAAAATCTTCCTTTTGACTCATAGTGACATGGATCACGATATAGGACAACAATTATTTTTTCTGATTCCCTCAACAACTCACCTAAAAAAACCTCTAAGGAGCCATCATGAACTTTAAGGAGTATCTCCTGACTTTGTCACAGTTACAATTTCTGAAACCTGAGGAAAATACTTGTGTCTTATGAAATTCCATTTCAGATACTGAAGGCCCCATTGAAGCTAGAATTTTATGATCTAAGTAAATACAAATGAAAGCCTCATGAATCTACATAACTAAACATATAATGATAAAACTCTTGCAACTAGCATTAAAAAGTAAGCCCATCAGAATWAAAAAGGTCTGTTGAACTTTTCTTCTTCCCAACCTCACCTACTGTGATACTTCCACTGCTGAAAATAGTGCTGGAAAACCTGTTGTCTGTTGATTCGGAAATATCCATCCCAATAAAAACTAGGATGACCTGAGCTTCAAATCAGCCCAGCACCAGTGTCACACAGTGTAAGTTAAGAAGTCACTACAAAATACTCAGGAGGAGCTGGGCATGATACTAGACTGCCATGGTGTTGAACAACAAAAAACCAGCATTATACTGAGGTATATAAATGTTGGTGACAAGAAGAATATCCTGAGAAAATACTTCTAGTGTTTATATGCACTTTTGGTCAGGCATCCAACCTAGCTGTTATCAAATTAGTCTACAGTAGAAATGTACTTCTGTTTTTCAGGTTCTTTGAGAAGCACAAGTGACAAAGTTGTGTTATTTTCCATTAGGGGTGTTCAGTCTTTATGCGAACTCCTGTGGACAGTTTTAGCACTGCTGTTCAGCCCATCTGTGAAGATCTGCAAGGATCACTTAAGAGACAATTTCTGCAGCTAGCAAAAATCTGCTGCTCCTTCCATGGTAGCATCAGCTACAAGATTTCCTTTCTCACAAAGCAAGTGCTTTTCATTTACAGGCATAGTCCACCCATTTCTGGTTTGGAAGGAATGGTCTRATTTCCTGTAAATCTCTGAGAAAACCTCAGAAAGATTTGTCTCATAAGACATCTGGGCAGGTCCAATGTATGGGAGTCATGTACTCAGACCTTCACCCTGCATGAGGCTGGATTGTTATTACAAGTTTTTACAAAATGTTGGCAGACAGAGAAATACACACTCTTGTAGCTAGGGCTGAGATGAAAACCTGTRTGTTCACTCCCATTCTGCAGAAAGCTTGTTTGTATTGTTATAATCTGCCCAGAAAGCCAGTTTTAGCTCTGCAGGCTGGCATGCAAGAAATGTTTGAGAACAAGCCCMCATGCAGTGGATGTGCACTGAGAATATGCAGATAAACAGAACAAAATACTGTATTCTTCCCATATCTCACTTGACCTTCTGGCAACTGACATCCTGACATCATACTTGAAATGAAGACCTCAGCCATTCTGTAGCCTTAAGTAAACTCCACAAAACCAAAGACTGAAATGGGATAAGCATCACCAATGGTATGACAGGTTCAAGAAATATGGGAAATTAGGCACAGGAAGGATATAAGGAAAAAAGAACAGGGTGAAAGGACATCAAGAGCTGATTATTTCCTGAAGAAGAGAAGGCTTTAGGAAAACTTCCCATCCTATTACCTTCACACCTAACCATTAGCTAAGTCACATCAGCTTTTCTATGGATAACACARGTATACATATTGAAAATATGGCAAATACTAAGTTACAAAGAGCATTTTTTCCTTCTTTAATTTTACATAACAGGCACTATCTTAGAAGCAATTAAAACATTTGATGTATTCCTATGTTTCATRTATATATAGACCTAAATTGGATTCTCCTCTAGTCAGGTCACATAGCAAGGCTTACAAATCCTTAGTCCTTAAGGATKTGAAGAGGATGCCATTCAATGTGTTTCCATTTCACATGAGCTCTGTGAGACCCATTTAAACTTGTGGATTCACTGACATGAACAGTAGAAGCACACAGGCATATAGAATGAGTTGATTTGCCCGCAATCAAAGCTTTTAAGCAAGATTTAGKTCCTTTGTTTGAATAACATATTTGGGAAAGGTTTATTATGCCCCAGGAATTCTCTCTCAGAAAGTAAAATCTTGAGCAACAGTCAATCTTGAGATACTGCTCTAGAAATAATCTTCTTTTTTTTTTTTCTTTGTGCTTTCTACCATGGACATAATCTATTCCAGNNNNAAAAAAAAACAGTCTCACAAATATTTAGGAGTAACCAGAATCTAATCTTTCTTAACAAGTTATTCATTAATGATCCTATTTTCTAAATAATACTCTTATTTCATCACTTTTGCCTTCACTTGATTTACACAGCTGTGAAAGAAGAAGCAAGACCTGAAAGGTATTTTTACTTCTTCCGGAGTACTCCATAGGTCTTTATAGCAACAATTGATATAGGGTCATAATCACAAACAGCCAGACTACAGGAATAATCTCACAACTCAAAATTCTCCTTCCAGTACTTTTGGGGGTTATTTTTGTGATGTGAACTAGGTGATCTAGAGAGAGTTACTTATTTGGTTGTTTCAAGGGATATAAAGTATACTGTGATGAACATTTCTGTTTGTGAAATGGGAATGTAAGTTTTTTCATGGTCTTCCTTTTGGTGATTTGTTTTGTTCTTTCTTACCTATATTCACAAGCAGTTTTTAGATGCAGGGGTCCTATAAAACTTACTGTAACAAAAGGTGACAAAGAGGAGGGAGTTTCTAAAATAAAAGTAAMTCACTAAGTGAGTTCGTTTAGAAAGTTGCTGCACAACCTTTTTCCTTGCAGCATCTATTCAGATGTGGTTTTAATTTTATTTTTGATCTTTTGCCTGTACATTAAAATGGGAGGGGCTTTTATGGCTGATGTGTTCACAATCGATTTTTCCAGGTTTCATGTGCTACCTACAACTTGGAACGCTTTTTTTCAAGCCCTTTTTTTTAACAATTGTACAATTATGTTCAGACTCAACTGTTGTCCTCGCAGCTCTCTGTTTTCCTCCCCTTTACCTTTCTTAACAGTTTAGAGCARTTAGCTAGCAAATTAGTTCCACCACTTATTAGGGACTTTGGTTGTATTGCTTAAGATCTAGTCAGAGTGCCATTAAGATTTTGTATTAAATGCAGTTCTAAGTTTCCTTGGTCAGATGTCAAGATTCCACTATGTATTAGCAACCCATAAGAATAAAACACAGACGGGGTATATTTTTCTTTGTTGTTTATTATAATACCAGAAAAACAAATCTAGAAAGCACATTTCATGGAGCACCATATTGTAACAAAATTTTGCTGGCTCTCCTGCAGTGTATTTTTGACATTTAAACAATGACACACACATAGTACATACAGGCACCTACACCACGGCAATCTTATTAACAGACCCAAAGAGACCCCTTTTCCAAATACAGAAACACYAAGGTGCACAGAAGAATGCCAGTGTGAGGACATCTGAACGCTAACTGAGTTAATCACTCTTTTATTAGCGATCTTCATAAACACAAAAGCTTCCTCTGTCTCACCCCAATCTCTCTTCTCTGAAGACCCCAAATTGGGCCCAACTGAATATGGATTTGTCACAGACATGGTGTCGGGTTGTACAAAACTGGCCAGTATTCCCTACCTGACACCTCTTATTGCTTTGGTTATAGTACTGAATGAAAGTCTTAAAAACTCTTAAATCTATACTCCACATCACAGAAAAGCCACTTTCACACATGCAGAAACGTAAGTTCCTCCTCAYACACCTGGATGCATAGCACAAACACCTTTTTGAGAAGCTTTGTAGGTTTCCCCACCAAGATCACTTTCCTAAAAATCACTGCATTTTGTTTTTCAAAGTGTTCAGTTATTCATCAACATATTTCATAATATATTTTCTTCTTTTTAATAGATGGGGAATGTTTTCCTGCTGCCTTAAATTTATGTCATTGTCTACACAAGGAAAGAGCAAAATGCTATAGTTTTTTACCTGTACAAATTGTTTATCATGCCTTTTATACAGTGCTAAATATAGATGCTAAGCACAGAACAATGTAGAATGATAACCCAGAATAGCTTTTTACCTTGCTCAAAATGAAAAATACTGGAAGTTTCCCGTACTAATGTTGAGCCAGTATTGGTGTCTCAGTTATATACAGTAGCCTTCCACAATACTTTCAGGCACCTATTTTATGAGCTTTTGCTCAACATGTGTGTCACACTGAAGCACCTCAAGTAATATGGGATGGTGCTCTGACACAATGAGAATGAGACAGAAGCAGATCCAGTCTCACAGCAGACAAGAACAGCTGTGAAGCACAAGGCTAGCAAAGTAGTAAAATTTCTGCCTGCACCCAAAACAAACCACTGCTACAAAAATTTGGGGTATTTGACACATGGCCACTTTTATCATCAGTGGAGGACAATGCATGATGTTTAATTTAAAACGTTTCAATAAAATATTTTAATTTTGTTAAAAAAAAAAAAAACGGGGGGGAGGGTATGTTTCTCTCAGCCTCTTAGAAAATACTTTTCCTTTTTTTTCCCCTCTATGCCCATATTCCTTCGAACAAAGCCCTGCTTTCTGATCAGAAAATTTCTGGGGAAACTCAAGGTTTTACAAAATATATTTCTGTCTTGATAATCAGTGAGGCTGGAATATCTTTAAATTTTAGGCAAGACTGTCATACACGTTGYGAAGAAAGAAATGAAGTTATTGTGCATTTTTATTCATGGAAAATCAATGTGGTTTTCCCATTTACAGGAGTCAATTTTACAATTCCTATATACTATGTGATGAATGGGCATTTATGAATTACAAGACCAAAAAAAAGGAATTCAAAAGGAGAGAATGAACTTGAAAAATAATTATAACTTTAGTTATGCAAATGGATATTAACAAACTGAATTACTATTTCAGACTTTTTCCTGTGAACTAAAGGTATGTTTCAACAGCTGTGCTAAACATTTGGCTAGCATTTCCCATATAAACAGTTCAGACTTCAATGGTATAATGAGGAAGAGAAGAAAATACTTACTAGTTTAAGCTTTACAAAGGCTATGGAATTGCTATGGAATTGCTATGGATTAAAAAAGTTTCAGATGACTGAATAATAGGATAAAATAATGAAAAGATGGTGTGCTGGATATATCAATACATATTTTCACTTGGATTAATGTCTACATCTTTACTCACCTGAGTAAAGAATAATGTAGCAAAAATAGAAGAGATTCAGAGACAAGGAAAGAATATGGACCTGTATAAGAATATGAGTTATTGTTTGTGTTAAGAAACAAACAAAAGGTATGTAAATTTCTATATAGATTAAATAATGACTGACATAGAGAAGAAAAATTGGGATCACTTCTGTTCATAGTGGTTTAGCATATAACAGCAAGAGATGTGAATGACATTGAAAAGCAGCCAATTTAAATATAAAAGAAAAAATCTGTTTTCATTTGGTTTTCTTTGAAATTAAATGGAATGGGATTTTTATTTTAGTAATCCCCACCTCACAAAATGCTTGAATCTCAGAAGTCAGGATCAGCCTCTCATAGGGATGATGAGACATCAACCATCACTTCAGATGAGGCAAAAATAATAAGGGCTGAAGCTAATGAAAATTCTGTAAGTTAGAAACTATTGCACCTTCCCCTGAAGCATCTGATACAGTCAGAGGTAGGACAGGGGATCAAATAAGCCATGTAGTTTGGCTATGTTACTGTTTCTATGCTTATAGGTTTAAAAAATCAGTTATATATTCAGTCATAAAGACCTGTAACAGTCTTCAACACTGAGAAATGATTTACAGTAACATTAACAAATGGAAGGACAGAATAATTATCATTAGTGTTCTTAGACACCACTTATATGTGCACACATATGTATACACACACATGAAAATGTATTATATACATACAGATGCATATATAAATGCATACATACATATACACACAGACACAGGCCTGCTGAGAAGTGGGGCTCACCAGATCTGAAGACCACTCTTAACAACCTTCTCCAGTGCACATTACCAGACTCTGTAAGTGCATGTGTGTATGTGTTAAAGAGTGAGTGGGAGAAAATGTGAAGAATAGAAATGTGAGCCTGAGGATAGGAGAAATTACCCATGTTAGTGTCATTATTTCAATTGTGCTTGAAAACACATTTCTGAATTCCTCCTACCTTGGCTAMGTTGACCGTCAGCCAAGCAAGAGGAAATACACAATGTTAATGGGCATTGTGAAAATTGAAACCTGTATTTTCCATTCTTTCCTGTCTTAATATTGACACATTGTTTTCCTGATGATGGGCAGGACAAGAAATTAAAAGAACTTATTTGATTTTTGCCACTTACTCTGTTTATCTGTTTCATGTGTCTGCCAAAGTTGAGTGAAAACTTGGATAGTCCATCTCCATGTGGGTTTTCATGTATCAGCTCTAATGGATTAGCTCATTGTAAATTTGCTTTTTCATCAGGCTTGATGAAATAATTTTAGTTTTAGAAATACCTAATCTTAATGTATACTCTAAGTTCACAGTATCTCTTTAAACATAACAATCAATTCTTCAGACCCATTCATATGAAAATTCTGCCATTCACATTAGTTCAAACTATTTGTCCTCCCTGTTTCTCTTCTGGGGAAGTTTTCAAGAACATGGATGGAACAGACTATTACCTCCTCTGGCAGCAGAACTGCAGCAAATCAATTTTAAGGCTGCAAACAACTTTCAGATTAACACAGCTACAAACTATTTTCAGGTATCTAAGATAGCAATAGTCAGCATGACCACATTTAAGAGGGTAAATTACAGGATAGGTTTCCATTTCAATGAGGTAAAGTTGTGCATAAGTTCTCCCATCCCCAAAATACACCTGCAAAGTCACTATCTCAAATAAAAATAGAAGAGAGAAATAAGTTATTTTTTTTAAAAAGCTAAATGTGAAATTAACTTTAAGCCTATTGCTAGACAGAAAGAGATGGAGGTGGGTAAAGAAACAGAGATGAGAACCAGACAATATTGATAAATGTGTGTTGTCAGCTCTGAGAACCAAGGGTTTGGTTGGCATCAGCTGAGTTTTGTCTCATGGTGCATTCTCTAGATGGTTCTCAGTGTTGTGTTATAAGTAGTCCAGGTGTTTTAGTTTTCAAATGGCAATGGGCCTATTTGATCATCTTTGTCTTTTTGGTCCAACTCCATAGATTTTAACCTCTTTCTCAGCAGGCACAGGCCCGCACAGTGGACACAAACATGTAGGCAGCTTTACATAGCTAATATGCTGTGCAGAGGTGTCCACAGAGAGTACAAATACCAGCAGACAATGGTTCATCTTGCTGTGAGCAGTCAGTCTGCCGGTGTGATGCACCACATGTGATTCCTGTAGTCTCTGTATGATAAATTTTCTACCAAGAGAGGAAAATCACCACACTGCACTGCATTTGTATGCAAGGTAATTGCAAACCTCCTGCTCCTCCCAGGTTCCTTGCATTGGCCACAGGGGCACAAAGAAATGTTTCTGATGAAATGTGCAGCATAGCCTTTCCATGAAATGCCTTCAAAACAGAAACGTTTCCCCTGGCTTACCCCAGGACAAAGGCTTCCAGGACACAGGTCTTATCTCACCATCCTAACTTCTTGCCAGCATCACCATTTCACAGAAGCCTGTTCACCTCTAATGTCCTATACCAAGAGCAGGAGTGGTATTTTTTTCACTTGACAGTGTTTCTGTGGAGCTAGATTTTTATTTTCTTTCACTTGACATTGTTATCAAATGTGTTCTCCTGCAATCATCTGAAAGGTTTTATTAAACTAGCATATGTTTTCTTTTTTTTCCCTCTTGCATCACCTTAAAGGGACACATCTGCTGACATAACTCCTGTAGAGAATGGATTTCATCTTTTGCTGGAGTTTTGTTCCAACCAAAGCCGAACCTCTTGCAGGTTGTAGAAAAAGGGACCTTTGCCTCCCAGGTAGGCGATTTTTTGTCTCTGCACAATGCATACTCGCTCAAATGAAACCCCATAGGCCACATTGGCGTTGTTGTCCATGCAGTCAGCCACCACTTGGCACTGAGGTGGCAACGAAAAGTGCTCTAGAAGCTGGTGAGCAGCTGCACATCTCTCTTCCTGGTTTCTGTGTTTCTTAACTTCAAATGAAGAGGGAGAGATTCCAGGGGCAGCCCAGCCATCTGATGGGTGAGCTTCATCGATGTAGACCAACAGAAAGTCAGCCACACCAGAGAACTCCTCCACCAGCTTGCTGAAGGCTGACAGCTGGCTTGTGAACGGTGGTCAGGTAGCTGAGCCAAAGTTGACCACCAGTGGCCGCTCAGAGTTGGCAAAATCCAGAAGGTGGCATTTGGTTCCACACTTGCCACCAACATTCTTCCAGCTGCTGCTGCCACCATCACTGTCCTTGGCTATGTGGATTACACTGGAGTTTGGAGCTTCTCCTCCCAGTTTGACCTGATGGCAGAACAAATCAAAACATAGCAAGTTAGTGTGACTTGCTTGTGCAGTATGCTTATGACTACTCTTTTCAAATAGTCACCTGTTCAGAGTAGCCACCTAATGGGCACATGAGGACACAGCAAACCATCAAAAGCAGCAGCTTCAAAACATTCATCTAGTCCACCTCCAGGAAAATTTTCCTCACAGTTCAGGAAAATGTTCAGACATTCCTGACAAGTATGTATCTTCATTAATATTAGAACATTTGATCAGAAGTCTGTCCAGTCCCCTTTATGTATCTGGAGAYTCATATTTGCTTTCAGACAGATTACCTCAAATTTCTTCTAACTTTTCTCACTGAGATATGGGGTTTTCTGTGCTGGCATTTTCCATGAGTTCTCTCCGCTTGGTTCACCTCATTCTTGAAGCGCACTGTTCAAAACTTCAACAGTGTTTTTACTGATTTTCAGTATGATTAGACAATTACTTCATTTAATGAAGTAGCTCACAGACTACACCTGTTTATATATTCTAGGTGTTGGCTTTTAATGAGAAATCATGTTGATTAGGGCTTAGCTAGCAAGATGTTATAAAATCTAGGTCCCTTTTGAGCCTACAGCCTACAGCTTAAGTCATGTTTCCAATTCTCAAAAATCATTCTGCATTATATTCCTTATCTTCACAGCACACATAGTGCCTCTCAATTTTGAGAGGTTTGCAGATCTGTATATTCTCTTTCATCCTGCAGTCCAAGAATGAAAATGCTCAAGACTACCAAACACAGGAGGTCTCTGCAGATGCCCACTTAATATATATACATCTTTGACAGTGGATCATCCAAGACTGTGCTCTCTAAAATTTCTTCTAACCACTTGGAGTAATTTCATCAGTGATTGAGTGACACATTTCCTTCTTCTACAATGTTTCTTTACAAGATGATTGGTGGGGGGGAGGAAAGCCAGCAGGAAAACAGGAAAGTTTATATGATGGTTGAAGTAGGATGAGGTGAAAATAAACTGTTCTCAGCTCCAGTTTCAATCTAACTCAGACACAACAGGCAATTATGGAAAGGTCATTTGGCCTGATGATTGCTATTTGCATGTCAATAAAAAATACAGAATCAAAGCAACTGACAGAAGGGAATGCCAGAATAAGGTGGAGCCTGCARAGGGCTCCAAGATCCTTAGCTGATACCCACTATAGAATTGCAAAACATTATATAATATGATTAATTTTTTATGATCTCTGCTTTTAACATCAACCTCTAGTACAACAATGCAATTWTCCTTTTGTATTTTCCTGACTCTGTCCCTGTTCCCTGGCTATTCAGAAGTGCTGCTTTAAAGGAAACTTACAGGGACAAACTCTGAATTTTACATTTTACATATCTCTTTCTGAAGCTACACTGCAATTGAGGCTATAGAAGTTAACGCTACATGAGAACTGTTTAAAAACTGAATAAATAACTGATTTTTGGTGCACTTCTATTTTACTTTACATTTTAGGGTACCAGATGAAATGTAGGAATCAGATGCAGTAAGAAACTGAGTGAACAGCTGAATACTAAACTCATGCAGTTTCTGCTGCATATAGATCCAAATGCAAGTAGATTGCTGGTACTGGATCCTCCATTTCTCCATCAGAAACCTGACTATCTTGAACAAATCTCCAGTTATTCATGACTCTGCACTATTTCATCAGAATAATGAGAGAAGTAAGAGTCTAATCAAAACCAAGTTTGTAAGATACAGCCCTTAAAGCTACCACACTTCACAGCTATATTAGAATGTCTCACAGCATGTTGACACGTGATTATAAGCATTACTTTGACTCTTTTTTTATAGGGCAACCTGAAACACAGCCATGCTGCCATTATCAGTCAGGGATCAGCAAGGAAGAGAATCACAAAGAGAAAGACAGCCTGAGACCCATAAATCTCTCYGGGCTAAGTATGTGGTGATCACACTACTGGGAGCAGAGGACATGAGGCTGCACCCCAGTCAAGAGAATAAAATGATGCCCCAGCAAAGTAAAGCCCCTTTTTCCCCACCCTTGTAAGCCTGGAACTGCAGCATTGCCATCTGCTAGAGCCCTGGTAACAGTTTTTAAAAAGCCTTGTCCTTTGCCTTTGAAAGCAAGAGGATTGAAACACCTGAGTTTAGGACCTGACGTGTGTATGCTGTCCACTGAACTCAAAGAAAGAAAATAACAATATCCCAGTTTTTGAGCAGAAATAATCTGTCTGGAGAGGGAGACTCAGAGGCTCAGGGTCTTTTTTTAAGAAGCAGCATTAAGCATCTTACAGCATTTAAGGCCACCTACACCTTAGCAGATAGCAGGTAGTCTTCTGGTCAACTATGGATAACCTCATTTCTCTGTGTCATTCTGTGAAGTAAGATAGGCAAAGCAGGAGTGAGTAAGGTAAAGRTCTGCACTTGAACAAAGAAATACACAGGTCAAAGATCACATGGCATCCATATAATCACCCTGAGGGCTGCATTCAATCCAGAAGCCAACTAAACAATTCAGCAATTTGTGATAAATTGATGACTCCTGAAAAAGGACAGATCTGAAGAAAYATAACATATCTACATCTGCACAAGCACTAGATACCTCCCCATCTAAGAAGCTTAACTCTTCCTGCACTACCATAAATACTGTTTCAGAGCTAGTTTGGTCAAAATGTGCCTTTCRGACAAAGCCTGACATGTAAATATTTGTGCCGCATCGACTCCCCGGATGAATAATGGACCTCAGGATTTAAGAGTATATATTCATCCAGTCAAAGAAAAGAGGTAATGACATGTAATTTATTTCACAAATCACAATTAAGCAGCACAGTTTGAATTTCTGATACTTGCTGTCAGTCTTCAGAGGAGAAGAAAAATAAAAGTAAAAACAAGCATCTATAAGTCAGGAAAGAAGAGCTGCTCAGGACCAAAGAAGTACCTGAGTAGCTGTTTCCACTTACTCCTCTGGTTTTAACAAAACTATCATGATTGAAAATATCTAGCCACCACTCTTGAGCTGGGAAACCAGAGTCTTCTTCTCAATCATTTTAGGCACAAAGAGAGGCTATGTGTCATGACATACTCATTACCAACTCCTCACTCAGGTCTACCAAACCCTTAAATTTCCTAGGCCAATTTTGCAAACTATGAAGAATCAGATGAATGAAATAACTTCCATCAAACACCAACATGGGAAAGCCCTTCAAGTCCTATTTAACATTGATACCAAAGGTGACAACATATTTTCTGTTCAACAATGCAAGTTTGAGTTCTGTCTCTCATTCCCCTTAAAGACTGGAAACAATGTACAAAGAAGCCCTTATCTATCTATACATCTATATATCACCTTACAGAAGTTTCTCTTCATTTCCCACAGCCATGAAGGAAGTCTCATGGCCGCAGGTTACCTATCATTTCAATTTTTGTTTCTAGGAGTGCTTGTGTTGGGTTTTTTCCCCTTAATGAGACATCCTTGCCAAGCAGGCATTCACGAGGCATTTTCTGCTCTTGTAGAGAAGTAATTAGGTCGGTGCCTTGTTCCATGCCAGTGTCAGGCACTCCAAAAARCAGCCCTGCCCAGTCGTTAATGCTTAAACATAAGCAGCAGGGGCAGATCCACTAATTGGTCTTGATGAAGCACTGACGTTCCCAAGGGACTGTTTATTTCACCAGTCTCTGAACCGATTGACACAGGATGACAATATCATCCTTGCTGATCATCTGCATTGTAGGCCTTGTCCGTCTTCTTTGTTGTTATTTATTGAAAGAAAAAATAGCTCTTGGAAAAGAAAATCAACGCAATGAGAAAACAAACAAAAACACCCATGTATTCAGCCAAACTGCTTTTGAAATCTTACACAAAGGCAGGCAAAATATAAATTCTGAGAAACAAACCAGCAGAAATCCCCTCACACGCAATCCAGCATTTCCATAATCACGTACTTTTGTGCGTGAATATTTGGCCATTTGGTGCCAGCCTTCTGAATGAGGTAGAAACTGGGCAGCACGCAGACATCCCCTCCCACACAGCCTGCATGGGACACGCAAGGCAGGCCAACCAAATCTGAGAGCCAGACCAGCCATCAGCGAGGGCAAGCAGCAGCACCAAAGCAGTGACTTGCACCATTTGTGAGAATTTTGTGTTTGCCTGACAGCCTGTTCTCAGGCTGCATGTAGAGTGAGAAAGGAATAAGATTGCTGATGCTTTAGCACACAGCCTGCAAAATGAAGGAGGCTTAGGAGCAGAGAGAAAGCTCGATTCATAAACTGCAGGCTGGAAATAGCGCATACTGCTGACTTTGTAGTACATTTTCCATAAGGACKGCGTAAAGCCCCATGGACAAAACATTGCCTCCTCATTTACCTCTTCTTTTTTCCTGTTTTGTTTTTATCTACTTTAGCATAACCTTCCAGGGATCCTGTGCACTGGAATACAGCTTTCATTCCCTGCATCAGGGATTTTCATACAGTTTGGCAGACTTACCTGTGTCAATCCCCTAAAATAAATAGGTGATGCCAGACAATTAGCAGTTTGTGATACTAGTCATTTGAATATGGACGTTGTATTTGGGGCTGGAGTGCAGCAACTGGTAATGAACTGAATCCCTGMAGCCTTTTGCATTTTTTCAAATTGTCTACTTTGATTTGATCCATTTCAGCTATGTAAAACTTCATCCAAATCATAGTTAGACTCTGGTTGGAGAATTCTACAAACTATTATTTTTGTTTTATTTAAATGGCCTAGAGTTTTGCAGTTGATAAAAATTACAGAAGACCCTTATCTGGAATAGAGTAAGGGTGCAGGAGTTCTCCATTTGTCTTGGGAAGGTGGCAACTTGAATAACTCAAATCAGAGAGTAGAGACTATAAATTATTCAAGCTTTCCCCGAGTCTTTTATTTAGGATCAGGTATGTGGAGCTGACAGAGGGAAGCAGAAGACAAATTAACAGAGCACAGTCCAGATAAAAATAACTAGTCAAATACTGCCCTCTCCATTTAAAAGC